ACATGTTATCAATGAAGGGAACTTGTGTTCTATTCTTTCACATGATAGTAGGATATTGGATTTTCTTGACCATAAACGATTGAAAAATTCACTGTGGGTGAAATGATATTCACTTGTCCTCGAATAAACTTGGTATTCAGGAGGATATGATTTGATATTATCGTTAGACATGAAAAATGACTCGTAATAACGATGAGATAGACTTTGACCAGACTTGCAAAAGGATGATGGCGATTAGCGATTGACTGCTTCCTTGGAGAGATTTGAAATATTTTTCTTGGAGGTTTATTTCTCAATAGATAATACCGTCTCGTTTATTATAACAGAGAGAGAGGGAGAGAGAGAGAGGTGCACAATGGAACTCCTGTTTCGAAAATGAAGACCAAAATATTTCTAGGGTACGATCATTACTCTACCCTAAAATAAAAGTCCCTATCGAACACACACTCTTCTTTCCCTAATGTGAACATTAAATTATCAAAGTCTATCTGACTCAACTTGGTCTGATCACACGTAAGATATGTTATATTGGTCGTAAAAATTGAAACATGATCAAATTAGCAAACAATTACAGTCGTCATCAATCTATGATTCAACCATTATATGTGAATTATCTATTTTTTGGCAAAAAAAGATATAAATGCACTAATATTTCGAGTAAACTGTAGACCAATAAAACTGGCTCCCGATTTTGGCGCAAGCAAATAAATATAAAAGGATTTGGCGCAAGATTTTATCCTTTTCACACGCATATTCTTTTCTCAGAAAGAACCAGGATACCTCGACTGAATCAATCATTTTAACCTAAAGAAGTAATGCAATAATTTCATTCTGATCCTCATTTTACTGTAATAGTACAAAGTTGATCCTTAGTGTTCAAAAGAGATCAAAGTAATCATAAAACTTTAATTATTAAAGAATTTGGCTCGGTATGTACTTTGTAGATTTTGGTAAAAATTGATGAAATGTATGATTGAAAACTAAATAAAAGTTATGAGTCCTATAAAATGTAATATTGAAAATGAATTTAAGAAGAAATGACTTAAAAAGGGGCTAAATGGAGGCTAAATCTTCACTAAGTTCAAAGGCATGCTTGTAAGTGATTTTAAAATGTGTGAATAA